ACCTGACCAAAGGGATATTCCATACCATATGATGTCATGCTCAGCATATAAAGCTGGGGGAAGAAGAAGGAAGGGAGGGGACGTTCGGAGTGATGGCATTTTGTCTTCCCAAGTCACCGTTACACATGATGGAGCCCTGCTTTCCTGGAGACGGCTGAACACCTGCCTGCCGATGGGAAGTAGTGAATGAATTCCTGGTTTTTCTTTGCTTGCGTGCATGGCTTTTGCTTTACCTATTAAGCCATCTTTATCTCAACCTACGAGTTTTCTCACTTTTGCTCTTCCAATTCTCTCCCCCATCCCACCAGGGGGACGGTGAGCGAGTGGCTGTGTGGTGCTTGGTTGCTGACTGGGGTTAAACTATGACACTGGTGGTTCTGTAATAGGGTTTGGAGAGTTGGTTTTGTTCTAAAATGCCATATTTTTCCTTGTGTATTGACTTTCATCTGGATATGCAGCTTTAAACAATGTTTGGGGATTTTGTCATTCTAGTGGACTTGTTCTAGCTAATTTGTGCTTAGCTGGTGGATAGTCAGCAAGTTTCTCTGCTGTTTTGTATCATGTTTTTTCTGAAATATTTAAGCTTTAATTTGTTTTCACTCATTTTATTGACTTTGTATTTAAATATGAATCCATCTAAGATGACATCAATTAAAACCATGTTTGAAACTGCTCCAGTTTTTTTTTTCCTTTCCCCCCCTACTCCTCTCCTCCACATGCATTCATAACCCTGCTTATTTTAATATCCCTCAGTAAATATTGAATTCCAGAGAGCGTGTTCATACTCATGCTGGTTTAAACTGCCTTCGGAGGAGGGACTGCTATGTCAGTGGCTTAGAAGGCCCAACTGTATTTATCTCCATTTGCTTTATCCATTAAAAGACTGGCAACTGTTTTAGTCAGTAACATTTTTTCTTAAATACTTGAAAATACACTGACGATCGTTGTCTCTGTGAAGAGCAGACAAACTTTAATAGTTTTGTAAAAAGATGACACCTGGCCAGAGATGGAAATGGAGGGAATGTATTTCTAGGTGCCCCAGGCATCTGGGAAGATGACTAAATGCCATATGAAAGTTATTTTGTAAGAACCACGTACCTAAATGAATGGTCTTAGGTCTTGGTTGCAGCCTTTATTGTTCATGAAACATGCATTGCTACATTTAATCAAAATCTCTATGATCTTGATGACAGCTGAATTCTCTTGCTTACTTGGCTGCTTTCCTTTTGCAGTGTGTGGACCTAAGCTGCAATGAACTGAGTGAAATTACATTGCCTGAAAACCTGCCTCCAAAACTACAAGAGCTGGACCTGACTGGAAATCCCAGATTAGCCTTGGATCACAAAACCCTAGAGCTGCTGAAGTAAGTTACCTTACAGAGCGGGGAGGGGGCAGAGCGACTCCTGTCACTAGGGTGTGACAAAAACACAATACGCAGAAGTGTAAATCTCTTCAAAGAGTATGGCTCCCTGTTGTCAGTGGATCAGACAGTAACAGATTGTATGGGTAGCTCAGAAATTAATACTTCATTGGAGAGGATTACTTTACCCACTTCAGTGCAATTGCTTTCAGCTGTAACTCCTGAAGGGGTCTGGTGGGCTGATACAACCACTGTTGGGCCAGTTTCATCTCCGTTTTACTTCTGACATTAGATTCAACCAAAATACTTGTTTTATTCCACCGTTGAGATGCCAGTAGCTACTTACTGTGGTTTTTTTCTGACGTTCGTCTGTCTTTGCCATTCTTTTCCTTTTTACCTCTTCACATACCACTTCTTGTTACCTTTCATACCTCTCTGCTTTTGTCCTGTAAATATTTTTTTCCATATTTAAGCTGCTCCTGAAGACTGTCATCTCCCACTCTGCTTGCAGCAAAGCTAGTTACCTTGCTTTGGGACCTTCTATTTTATTCCTGTCTACCTGTTTGTTTCCTGCCCTGGGACTTAACCATCCATAACTTAAATTCGCCTTGTGCCTCCTTCTGCTGCGTGTTGGGAAATTGTTGCACTAAAACAGGTCAGCTGTGGACAGTGGTGCTGCCTTGAGCTTTTCTTATGTCCTGAAGGGAACTGCACCAGCACAGAGGTTCCTTCTAAGTCTTCTTGATCCTTAAATATTGCATGATTCCAAGAAGGGTTCGTGTACTTTTTAAGGGTTGAGCAGTTGCTTTGTGTGATTTGCTTTTAAATGGTTAAGATCAGACACTGGAGTAGTAAACCTCATCTGTTGTGCAAGCAAGGGAAACTTACAGTGTGAGTTTGCTTTTAGCTTGAATCAGCAAATTCTATCAAATTTAAATGGAAATTTGAATAGTGATGAGTTTTCACAGATAAAAACAATAGTCCACGTTCTGCAGCAGACAGCGGAAAAAAAGGGGCGTTACTCTATTTTAAGAACTGCTTTACTGTATACAGGAAACCTTCCTGAAGAAGCAGTGTGGAATGTTACAGGGAAAAAAAAAAAAGTAACAAAGCTAATTGAATTGTGTCGGAACTTAAAGATCAGCTTTTCTTGCGTGTAACCCAGCAGACAAGATGGGCAAGCCAATCTCTTGCCACTTTAGTATTCAGGCATCATGCCCTATAGCAGTATTGTACAAATTTAAGTCCTAAGTAGTAGAAGAGTAGCGTGGCCCAGTTACGCACCATATTTTCACTGGCATATGCGTTGTCTTTAATTTGCAGAAAATTTTTTTCCTCTTGTGTGTGTGTTTTGTTTGGTTATTTGGTTTTTTTAATAAATTATTCTTAAGACCTCAGGTCTGTTTTCTTCCCTAATATTCATTAGCCACAGTCAGGTGTTTCAGGCCTCCTGAGGAGCTGCTTAGTGTCCGTGCTGATATACTACGCTGACTTCTACGGTATACTGCTATAATTGACTGTGAGGGAGGAGGTGCTCCTTTCGCTTGTTTTTTGTGGCAGGCACGAAAATACTTGTGCACTTGGTACTTTTTATATCTTCCTTCTGCATGTGAAAGGCAGCTCTCCATCTGTGCCCTAGCAGGATTCAAGCAGGTAGTAGGTTAATATGTATTTTTAGTGCTGATGAGAAGAGTTCTGTCATGCATGCTTGCTTTTTTAATATGTATGGAGATCTTAAAGGAGGCTTGCATGCTTAGGAGGATGTTGCCAAGTGATTTATTGGATGTAAGACTTTTCAGTAGCAATTAAAATGAAAAAGGGGAAAAAAAAAAAGATGCTGCTACTCTGATTTTTTAGGGAGGAGCATTTAGTTCAATTGTAACAGTAATTTTAAATGAGGGGGGAAATAAACCATGCTGTCCGGAAGCCTTAGCCCATCTTCCCTGCATAGGGTGTGCTGCTGGATATCATTCCTTTCCAGGCACATGGTCTATTTGTAGTAGTGCCACTGAGGAAGCTGAAAGCAATGCATTGAGGTAGCTTTTTTTACCACTGTTGAGAAGCCTTAAGGCAGCTCTGGGTCCTTGACCTGCCCAGGAACCAGGGGTCAGTCAACTCGGTTAAAAAAGAATCAAACAGAAAACCCCTTTTGATCCAAGTTCCTCTGCCCTGCAAGATAAGTGCCTTGTATGAGAAGTCGGTGAAGAAAGTGTGTCTGCTCATGTGTGTAGCAGTTTGCAGGTGGAGACAGAATTAATATCTCTGCTACTTTAGAAGAGACCCAGGTTTCCAGTTTGATTTGGGGTCGGGTAATCTTTTCTAATGTTCGTGGCGAGATGTTTGCCTCCTGTTTGTCACACAGAGGGCTGCAAAACCACGAGCTTCAAACACCAGTGGTTCTAACGTTATTTATGTAATTTGTTTGCTTTTAATCTGCCCTCGCTGATGTACATCCTGACTATCAGCGTAAAAAGAAGGTGAACTGGATGTGACAGTACTTCAGGTTATTTGAGGAAGGCTGTGCAATGCTGAAAAGACTTTTCTGTGTGTTCAGGTCAGGTGGGGGTTTGGATAGAGAAAAATGAATGCTCAGAGTGAACAGTTAGACCTTTCTGCTTGTGTCCTTTTATGATTCATTTGGTTCATGAAAGGTTCGGGTGCCTTTGAAGTGTCTGCAGCGTGTGGGGAGTTTGCTTTCCCTGCCTTTGGAAGAGAGCAGTAGGGAGCAGGGAGGAGGTCATCTCTCCCCAGCAAAGCAGGGCTGTGAAGAGGAGTATAAAACAGAGAAGGCTGGGCCCTTTTTAAGTCTTTACTACGCTGCGTGAGATATTTGAAATTCGGGCTAAAGGCTATGTTGGTAGTAAATTGGAGGGTAGAGGATCAAGGGCCTCAGTGAAAATTGGATTGTACAACTGGGGAAGGCAGAAGGGCTGTGCTTGCTGTCAGGACCGCAGGCTGGCTCTTCCAGGTTGGTGCAGGACAAGGATGGAGCAGATTTCTGTTTGTGGGCATTTTCATGGAAGGCTGTTACTACACGTTGCTATTCCTAAAGAATTTTTTTTTCCTTTTTTTTTTTTTTTTTTCCATTTAGGGGATGGTGTGGGTCATACAGGAGGCTTCATCTGTGTAGAATGAAAAGAGCCCAGAGACTTCTTGTTAAAATGGGTGGAAGAGATGTATAAGTCAAAAAATCACTCCCCTGTACTGGCTTTCATCAAGCTAGTGACAAATTTGCCTTGTATTCCTACTGGGCCAGGTTTGAAACAAATAGCTCAGGGGTGAGAGCAGGGCAAGAAAAGCCAGCTAAGCAGAACAGTGAAGCTGACACCTTCATAGTGGCTCAGTTATTTACTGCTTTTTTGTTCCTTGTATACAAACACATAAAAGTAACTGCTTTGGATGTCCTGTTTCATTTTCTTCTATTAAATGTATTACTAAGAACTGGGAGGGGAAAAAAAAGTTGTCTTCACATTTTAAGCTGGATCATGTCAGCACTTCAATCCATTGCATCTTTCCCCTTTCCTTTCTCCTTGCAGCAATATCCGTTGCTTCAAGATCGACCAGCCCTCAGCTGGTGATGCTTCGGGAGCACCGGCAGTGTGGAGTCACGGTTACACAGAAGCGTCGGGCGTTAAGAACAAGTATGACCTGGCGTGGTTTTTATTATACGAGCATCCTAGCAGCGGAGCACCTCTATGCTGATACAAAGAAATCCTTTTTTCAGTGAAAGTTTTGGGGACATTTTGGGCCTCACAAAGGCAGAGGCCATGCCATGACTCTATATTTGTATACTGGGCCCCTGCCTGGCTCTCCACTCTGGTCTTTGTTAGGGAAGTTGCTAAGATACAAGCATAGCCGACACATTTTGTCTATGCAAGACTCCGGTACTTGCAAAAGATCTGAGTGTTTAAAAGCATTTTCCTCTTTGCAAAAAGCTTCTTCAACCAAAGGATGTTTACCAAGCAAATCAGAGATACTAAAGGAAGAGGCAGAATGGCCAAAACTCTGAATATTCATAGTGTGCAGAGCTCCTGTGACTAAGGCAGCACTTGACAAATAATGTACCAAGAGTCTGCTAGTCTCTGTGTTGCTGGCAACGTGATGAATCTTTTCTTTGTTCCTTAAATACCTTTTTAGAAATCTTCTGCTACCTAGGTTTCTGTATCAAATGCCAGCAATCCTTTACTTTACTGTTAACTGATTTATCGCGCAACTTTGGTCATCGGCATGTTAAATCACAAGGATGGCTTTCAGAGGGGCAAGTGCGGTTTCAACTGATGTTGTTTCAGGCATACTTTTTCCCCTATTTCTACAAATAAGGGACTTGTTCACATGCTGAAAAGGAGGAAGAATCCTTAGGGCTTGGCTTGAACTTCCAGTATAGTTCTCTCCATATCTTAGCACTATTGATGGGCCGGACTCTTCTCCACAGCTCAGAAAGCAGTCCTGAAATGCTTGTGAACAGAGGTGGTTAAAACTAGCTCTCAGACCAGGCTGCTTCTTTCTGGTCAGAATGACAAGATGAGAAACTAGTAGTGAGTAACAACCTTGATGTTCTCCTGCTTTGTTTTTTCACTAGGCTTTGTGTGGCAGCACTTTCAGCCAATAACTTCTGTGACAACCGGGAGGCACTTTATGGTGTTTTTGATGGTGACCGCAACGTGGAAGTGCCGTATCTGCTGCAGTGCACAATGAGCGACATCTTAGCAGAAGAGCTGCAGAAAACAAAAAATGAGGAGGAATACATGATCAACACTTTCATTGTTATGCAGAGGTGAGTCTTGGATCTGAAGCCTTTTTTATCTTGTGTATGCTCACTGGGCAGTTTGTTCGCTTTCAGGTCAGACACCTGCTCTTTTCTCGCTTCAAAAAAGTGCAAGAGGGGAAAAAAGCCTTGGAATCTGGCTATGGTGTTTTCTTTTATCACTTGTTTTGTGAATGTTGCCCTCTGTTCCTTTCAGGTGTGGGGAGAAAAACCCCAACATCTCCCCACCGAAACAAAAAAAAAACCCCACCCCACCTGTGAAGTTACTAAGTGCTCATGAACTAAGTGGTGGGTGGAGGTTTACTCTTTTCTGGTGTCGTCTTTAAGTCTTAGGATTCACAGTTGACCGTAACCAAGTCAGTGGTATGAATCTCTTGATCATCTTTTAAACTTCCTTACTGTTACTGGCTGCAAAGCTTGGGCTGATCCTTTCTGTTTCTCTGTACCAATTCAGGTTATTTAAGGCTACACAGGTATTTCAAACGTGTACTCTGACTCCTTAGAAATGTCTATCTCCTGTCATCCCTTTGGCCTTAGACTATTATTTGAGCAGGACCCATCCAAAGAGATTGTGATACAATAGCGGTGAGTGTAATAGTGGCTCTATGTAGTGGTTTGGAAACCTGTATGCGTGCTGTTCTTGACAGAAGAAGAAATTGTGCCTGGGGAGACATCAAGCGAAAGAGGAGTACAAAGGGAATTGAACAAAGGAGAACGAAGAGGTCAGGGAAACAAAGGAGAAAGCAAATAAGCAGCTTAGAGACTGAGGAAGTGGATCAAGTTAAAAGTAGCATTGCTTATCATTCAATTGCTGCACCTCTGCAGAGGAAGAATACTGAAGTTCTGATATCGGGAAAGATAGGAAGCAGTAGGGTGGTATTGAACCTGAAACACAAGAGAGAAAATGCTTCCTTCCCATAATTGCTTATAGCAGCGCCTCAGACCGGTAGCTGAGAAGGTGGTTGCCATACACTTAAAATATTCAAAAATAATAACGAATTTAAGTATCAAAAGTACTTATTAAGTGGTTTTATTTACTACTGTTGCAATTTCACAGGAATGTGGCATTCCTACAAAAAGCTGCCTTTTTTTTCGGTCCCAAGTCAAAGTAAGCTAACCACTTCCTTGGAGAACCAGAAATAGTATTCATTCCAGTTGCATTTAACCATTCATTGAGGATTATTACAGATTATATGCAACACTCCTGAAGTGTATTTTTAAAAAATTAAACATATTGAAGCTTGGCTACAAATTTAGTTGTGCATTCTCTCCTCAGGATTTTGAATTAAAGGTTCTTGCCAGCTATACCTAGCCTTAATAAAATTTTAGTAACCTCTATAATTAGCTTTCTAATTACTGTAATTCCTAATTACTGTAGGAGAAGGCCCTGATAAACAAGATGCTGGGAAGGATGGATGGTTTTTCACAGTCTAGTATTGAAATGAATTTACATTCTAATTACAGGATTCTGAAAACTTTACTTTTATCCATAGGTTATTTTTTTTTCCACTATGACCCCTGCTAAAACGGCAGGCTTAAATATTTCTAAGAACCTATTTAACAGGTTAGTTACTGACAGGATAAATTAAAAGTGTGCTGCCTTACAGTGGAGTTAACAGCCACTGTGCTTTTTTGATCATCATTTGATACTTTAAGAGCTTTATTCTGAAGTAATCACAAAACAGTGAACCTCTGCCTTCTGTTTTTGCTCAAAAATAGTTTTTACAGTTAGAATTATTTTTTTTATAATAAAATCTGTAGCTTCAGAAGCCAAAGAACCAGCTGGATAATATGAACCCCCTTTTTAAGCTCTACCTGTACTCATTTAATAGTCCTCAGTACTTTTCTAACCCTCTCCGTTTCCCTCAATCTGACCTTTAAAACAAATGCCTTTAAGATGTAGAGGAAGAGACAACTGTGCAACTCTTAAAAGTGCAAAGATTGTTGTTGTTGTTCTAAAATTGAGCAGATTTGCATATGTGTAAATAACACACTGCCCGAGAGTTGCACGTGATTTCTCTGCAGTGCTGCCATAGTGTCACAGTCAGTGGAGACTTTTGTTTCTGTCCCAGTGATCCAATAGAGTCAATGCCCTGAGTGCTTGTGGTTGCAGAACAGCGGCTGTTTCTCCATAGTACCCGTAACACTTGTTTTCCAATTAAAGAACAATCATTGTTTTGTTTAAATTCCAGGAAACTTGGAACAGCTGGACAAAAACTTGGAGGCTCTGCTGTCCTCTGCCATATAAAACATGATCCCATGGACCCTGGTGGATGCTTCACGCTAACCTCAGCAAACGTGGGGAAGTGCCAAACCGTTCTCTGCCGGAATGGGAAACCTCTGCCTTTGTCCAGGTGTTACGTGATGAGTTGTGAAGAAGAGTTGAAGAGGATTAAGCAGCATAAGGCCATTATCACAGAGGTTAGAGAAAAGTTAGGGACTGTTGCAACTTGCAGCTTCCTTGGAGAGCATTTGCACAGCAATGCATGAAATTACATGTCAATATTAGTAACCTCTAAGAGGTGGTGTTAATGGTATGGGTTCCCGAGTTGCACTTTTCCTTTCAAAGTGATTCATATCATGCAATCAAGTTATCATGCAATCAAGTTGCTTTTCCATCCCATTGCCATGTTAGCTTCAGAGAGTGAGCAACTGTGAGCATGTTGCGTTGAAACAGGAAAGCAGACAGCCTCCTCCTAATGGAGAGAGGAATTTCTGTGTTGGAGCTGCCGTGAAGAGCCTCTCCAGTCGAAAAGGATGAGAGGGCAGAGCACTTGGAGCGATGCTATCCTTCCCTTAGGAGACTCCTTGCTCCTGGCAGGCTGACTTTGCTGTCTGAGCTCCTACGTTCCCAGAGCTGCCCTTTGACAGGTGGCTCTTGAAGAGAGCACTTGCCCAAAAGGAAGACCCATCCTGTGCTCAGCTGAACCATGAGAGAGGAGAAAACTATTTGTTCCCTTCTTACAAGGGAACACCGCTGTCAGTTTTGCTTTGCCTTGTGTGACACATGCATAGGAATAGATAAATATTGAATCCTCCTAATGGTGGAGGAAAGGGCAGAAAACTCACTGCTGTATGCCCGTGAGCAGGGTGTGTGTGCGCGCGCGCGTGCGTGTGTGTGTGGAGTAAGTCGTGTGCCTATCGATCTCGCCAGGGAAAGGTGATGACTGGGATCTCAAACGCGACAAGTTGGAAGGGAGTCACTCCAACATAGTGTGCATCACCGAGGCACGCTCGTTGTGTTGTTCCGTAGAGCAAAAGGGAAATTTCTGCGCTGAATCTTAAGATGACTCACTGATTTCATGCACGTTGATGGCTTATCACTGCTGTCAGCCTTCTAATGGGGAAGTTAACAAGCCGACAAGGTTTTTTTTTCTCTGAGTGGTTTTAAAGGGGAAGCTTTATTTAGTCTTAGTTCACTTTTCTGTGGTTATCTGCTTTATAATAATCACTGCAGTCATCAGCTGGACCAAATGAGTGTAAATCCTCACCTTTGTTGTTCTTCTCAAACATGCAATTAGCAGGGTGCTGCTATCCCCAGCAGGCTGGCAGATAGTCAGGCTTGCTGTTTCAGACACTTGCTCTGCTTATTCTGGCAGCTTGGATTCTAACCAGGACAGGATCCTGGGATTTGGACATGCATGGGATTTACTTCTCAAATACATCCATTTTTACTGATGTTTTCCCTTCAGATATTACTCCTCCTCTCCTTGGAAATGTCATATCTAAGTGGAAGCGTAGTAAGTAATTGGGGCATGTAAAACATTTCACTGCAACTCAGCTGACTGAGAAATGCAGACTTGCTCTCTGCTGCATTTGAATTTGACTTGCGTGCTTCATTTAAAGTCCTTTTTTTTTTTTTAATGAACTTCTGTTTCCGAAGTGATGAGCCAAGATGAAACCTACGATTGTTACAGCTGCAGGAGAAGAGTCATAACAGAATGACCTGCCCCTGTGTCAAATGGAGCTGTGTGTGGCTTTGCCCTGTATACAGCCAGATATCGTGGGTGGAGGAGGGATAAGTCTGACTCACTGGTAAAACGTTAGTCCAGTTGGTGCTTGCAGCTGCAGGAGCAGAATAGATGGCTCTTTGTTGCAGACTTCTGCTTTGCTGCTCTGTGCATAGGTGATGCTGATGACAAATCAGTAGGGTGTAGGAGGCGTAGCACAGCATTGGAAACCAGCCATTGCTGTGCTCTAATCCCAGCTCTGTCACCTCCTTGCAAGTCACTTTGCTTTTCCGTCTTCTCGTCTGTAAATGGCAGTGTTGGGGGTACTGCAAAAACAGCCATCGGTAAAACGCAAGGAGATGCAGGTGCTGCGTATCCCTGTCTGCTTTGTTTCCAATTTCCTGTCCTTTCTAATTTCAGGATGGCAAAGTGAATGGTGTGACGGATTCAACAAGAATCTTGGGGTACACCTTCCTTCACCCAAGCGTTGTGCCCCGTCCTCACGTCCAGTCCATCACCTTAACTCCGCAAGATGAATTCTTCATTCTGGGGAGCAAGGGGCTGTGGGACAGCCTCTCGATGGATGAAGCAGTGGAGGCAGTCAGAAACGTGCCTGATGCGCTGGCAGCCGCGAAGAAGCTTTGCACTTTGGCCCAGAGTTACGGCTGCAACGACAGTATCAGTGCTGTCGTGGTTCAGCTCAACGTGACGGAGGACAGCTTCTGCTGCTGTGAACTTAATGGGGTCCCACCCCCCAGCCCAGGCATTTTCCCCCAGTCTGTCAACGTGGTCATCAAGGACAGGCCAACAGATGCACTTGGGATGCCATCTTCAAGCAGCGGCATGGCTTCGGAGATCAGCAGCGAGATCTCCACCTCCGAAATGAGCAGTGAGGTGGGGTCCACGGCCTCTGACGAGCCTCCACAGGTAGCCATGAACGAGAACAGCCCGGCCTACCCGGGGGAGCAGCGCTGCATGCTGCACCCCGTCTGCCTGTCCAATTCTTTCCAACGGCAGCTCTCCAGCGCCACCTTCTCCAGCGCCTTCTCCGACAATGGCCTTGACAGTGACGATGAGGAGCCGATTGAGGGGGTGTTCACCAATGGCAGCCGCGTGGAAGTGGAGGTGGACATCCACTGCAGCCGAGCGAAGGAGAAGCAGCTTCTCCAAGTGCCGGTGGAAGCCAGCGACGAAGGTATCGTCATCAGTGCCAATGAAGATGAGCCCGGCCTTCCCAGGAAAGCTGAATATTCTGCCACAGGCACAATAGGGCGCCGGCGGGGCAACGGTTCTGTGGCACCACAAGAGAGGAGCCATAACTTAATTGAAGTTGCGACGGATGCGCCACTCAGAAAAACAGGGGGCTACTTTGCTGCTCCAGCACAGCCCGATCCCGACGACCAGTTTATCATCCCACCAGAGCTTGAAGAAGAAGTCAAGGAGATCATGAAGCAGCACCAGGAACAACAGCAGCAGCAACAGCAGCAGCAGCAGCGGCAGTATCCGACAGACCACCTGGCAGACTATTACGACACACCACTATGACCCACTCTATTTACTGCTCAGAAATAAACTAACAAACAAGGAGACTTGAGTGCGGGCCGCAGTGGGCTCGCATTACAGCAGGGGTTTTCCTTATCCTTTTCCTTTATATACTTCCTTTTCCTTATCCTGCCACTACAGATAACTGCAGCTTTTCAGTTTGTTAGGTTTAATATCCATTGACTTTCTTCTAGAGACGCTTGACCGGTAAAGTTTAAAATAGTTAACCTTCCCTTAACATATCAAGTGTAAAAACAAAAAAATAATAAAAAAAATAATAAAAAGGTTTAATATATTGCTGAGAAACAGATGATGATGTAATATTTTTTAAAATGGCTTGTTTGTTTTGTTTGAAAAGCAGGGCAGTAGCCAGTGCTAAATGATTTAAGTAATATTGTAATACTGTATTTCTTTGAGAGAAAAGGCTTTTTTTGGTCTTGAAAATGATAGACATTTGTAGAATATGGAGACTAACTCCTAGGAGTTGCTTTACTCTTTCAGGTGACTTAAGTCACTGAGATTCACTAATTTTCTCTGAGAGAACAGTTGATTGGGAAATTCCTGTAAATAGCTCAGTGTTGTATAGTGATGCTTACATGTTTTGTAGCCTTGGCATTAAGGACACAACCTGAAAAATTGACCTTTTTTTCTTAAGCGACTCTTTGGGCCACGGTCATTGAGCGTAACGGACCGAGTGGCTGTGTACAAGGTAGCTAGAACTGAGATGGTGTAGACCATTTAAAGAAACCCACTTTTTCCTCTGGTCTCTTTCTTTCCTTACTTTTACAGACACGTTTAGTTTGTGTTCCTTACTGCTGCCACAACCAGCATGATTGTATAGAGCTCATTTGCTGTAGAACATTTACATACCAAGAGTTATATTAAAGCTGAATGCACAAATGAACATGTCATAATTTTTGTTATAATAAATATGAAATTTACACCTGATGTCTGCTTTTATGTCTGAATAGCTGAGCAGCAGCTTTCAAACAGTAGCTTGCTGTGTTTCATCAGCGTGCTGCTCAGGTTAAACCGAGAAGCGTTGAAACTTTTTCGGCTCGATCACATTTTTACACTGACTGCAGAAGCTCACATGTACTTTTAGAATTTAAAGGCCATGCAAAATGGCCTTTAAAAGATACGAAACAACCCTCTGAGGAATTGACCTGCTTTCTTTTTTTCTTTCTCAGTACTAATTCAGCACTATTGATTTGCCCTTTGCCACAGTATTGACGATGCCAGAAGACTGAAGAGGAGCGGTGCTCTGGCTGTGTCCCGCTGGGACCGAGTAACTGAAGATAGAAATGATGAAGGGATAATGTGGGCTAAGAAAAGGGAGAAAGAAAACATCCGATACGGAAAGAAGAGGGAAAGTATAAAGAGACGGTGGAAAAGTGAACTCAAAGCTACCTACGTAAACTCAGCTTTGCTCGAATGCGTTGAATGAACACGAGTTCAGTGGCAGCTTGACTTTGGTAGCAAAAGGGCATTTTTTTTTTTGTGATTTCTGTGGGAAAGGAGCAACACCCTTTTTCAATATTGCCTCCAACCAACTGCTCCATTTTACTTGTCACTCTTTAAAAAGCTGAATTAGTGTGATCATGACAGTGTATTGCTCCTGCTTGACATTTGGTCTGTATTTTGGGAGAGGACTGTGGTAACAGGCTGTTGTCCTTACTCTGTTCTAGGGTGAAATAGCCAAGTTAGGGCAGGATTGCTGTTAACAAGAGATTTTGAGTTTCTTTTCCTTAAGTAATAACAATAACAGTAGAGGAGCAAACATGAAAATACCTGGTTTGGTAAATGTTTATAGCACTGTCTACTGTAGATCTAGAAGATTGTACTTCACTGTAATTTGAGCTTCAAAATATCTCTTTCTTAAAGAAAACTCATTAAATAATGTATTTAAACAAAAAAAAAGCTTATCGTTTATTGGCTAGTAACTCTTCGGTGTTCTTTGGTAAACAGTTTGTCTATTTCAAATTTTGTTGAATGATTAATTTTCCGTGGTGTCCTTGGAAAGTGTTATCTTTTTTTCCTTCAGTTCAGATGTTGCTTGAGGCTGAAGGTGGTAACTAGCAAGGACACTACCATGGCCTGGGCAAGTGGTTACGAGTTTAGGGTTTCCTGAGCAAGCTGGAAAATTCTCTCTACCTTAAAAAAAAGAAAAAAAAAAGTCAATTCTCTTCCATGTAGCACCCACTGCTAGGGGAGGAGTAATCTTGCTGCTGCCGTCTGTGGTCTCTATTCATGATAAGGTGCCTCTGGTATGCTATACATGCAGTACTCCGGAGAGAGGAGCAGAGGTCGGAGTAGGGGTGGAAGAGGAGCCGTTTCATGTGAGCTAAACTTTGGACCAGCGCTGAGAATTGACGCTCCGTGCTGTGCCCTTTGCTTGTGTGAATAGGAGTGTATGCACGCAGGCTTCATAAAGACTTTCCCTTCCCTTCGTTTGAAGGACAAACTCCAAGAACTTGCCAGCCCCTGTGGCATTAGCAGCTTCCAGGCAACAATGCGGTTTCTCTCCTTATTATGCCCTTACCTTGAAGCATAGATGGCCAAAACTGACAGCCCGCCAAAGCCTGCCGCTTTCAGCATGGTACCTTCTGTAAAGTTAACGATGGCATTCTGGAGTCAGGGCTTCTGTAGCATCAAAGTGACAGGATTTTGGCTGAGGAGCTGTACCTTTGGGTTTCTGGTCTGCCTGAAGACGACATTTGTGGTAGTAGCCTGTCTTAACTAGTCATAATGCGAAGGATTGATGCATTCATAGGGGCGACTTCATCCCTCTACTGGGCTTTCCATAACGTGCTGAACTAGATCAGTAGGTTGGGTGGCTGGGAGCCTCTTTGGAAAGTTTAGTATTTATTTTTAAACAAGGGCAAAGGGGTATTTTGTTCTGGCTTTAAACTGGGACTTGGAAATAAGGTACAGTTTTTGCAGCTTGTGACATTTCTGGGCATCTCTGTCCTCTTCCACAAAAGGGGGCTAGAATGTTTTTATCTCGGGAGGACTGAAGCTGAAGTCATTGATTTCATCTAGGTGCATTACTATCATACATGATTTTATGATTATGTGCACGGTATGTTTTACACAATTTTGACCTACTGGGAACTATGTGACTCAAACAGAGAAGTGGATTTGTTTGCAGAACTTGACAGCTGCAGCAGGGGCAAAGGTTGGGGGCTAAAAAGAAAGGAGGGCTAAAAAGAAAGGAGGGCTTTCAACTGGGGAAAATGTAGAGCCACATTACCTTTATAATCAAACCTTTCGTGTCCTTTGAAACTTGCTGATAGCCGTATCTGAGACAGGCAGAAATGCATGAACAGAAGGAGGTAGATGGCTGGTGGCAGAAAAATGAACGTATTTACATTATTTCCTGGAAGATAACTTTAAATAGGAAGCGATGATGGTATTGAGAAGTAACTGAGTCACTTACGTGCTTGTATGTGTGAGCCTTTTTCCTTGCTTTGTGCCATAGTGCTCTAACATAATGGTTTTGTTGGGCATGAATAACCTGTTGGCGTCCTGCTTGTGCGTTCAGCGCATGGCACCACCATCTTCATGTTGGTAACCAGTGCCGCGGTGGCATTGCCGTCCTCTGGCTTACTGCTCTTAGAGTGTGCCAACTATGTCCATGTAGGTTGTCTCCCTCACTACTAGAGAATGTGCTGCTACTGCAGCGCCCCGTATGTTACCCTTTAAGTAGTCTCTTCATAGCGATCTCAGCTTGATCCCTGACCATTGTGCTTACAACTCCTACGCGTAGTTTTCTAGCAAATTGTACGCATTTATTTTTTTAAGTGTAACTTTGCTACTTGGGAGGCACATCCACATGGGGGTGGCTGTTAATGAAGTGTCACACGCACCTTTGGAGGTAATTTCTGCATCTCTGCCCTAGTCATGGATGATGTTTTTTGGGTTCAACATTGCAGGTCTGGGCTTGCGAGCGTTCACTTGCGTGGGTTGGTTGGGATAACCTAATGAACAGTTTACCCATCTGGGGTGCGGAAGTGCTTGAATTGATTCAAGCAGAGCGCTAGGATTCAAAGGAGTAAACGGAACAGTAACTTTAGCTTGGTCAGCCTGATTTCCCTGGACACTGCCTGCCGTCGATGAAGAGATGAACTTTTCTAAGAGGAGAAGGCACTCAAGTCTTAAGCTGAGCAGTTCTCAGCAGCGCTGTAGGGTCAGGTCCCTCAGAGCTTTGGCTGCAGGGGGAGCTGCGTGGCCAGAAGTTGGTAAAAATATCTTTCGGGCTCAGCTGGAACCAGGACGTGTTGGTGTCTGTTAAATGACTCTACGTTTACTTTTTTCTGTTAACCTGCTTTACTGTCCTGCTTTGTTAATTCAATTGACTTGCTTCAGGGCCAATGTATTGCGCTATTCTTGGAGTAACTGATTTGTTTCTTACTGATTTGTTACCTGCGTGCTTGCACTGCTTGCAGTGAGGATTTCACGGAGCGCTGCATGAACCAATCTCTTACTCTTCATTGCTTGCATTTTGGTGAGGGGTGTGCTGGGTCCTACGCTGATGGCGTTAAGTGTTCAAATGCCCTGCGTAACAAGACTGCTGCTTCTATGGAAAGATGAAAGTTAAAATTCACCTGCTGCCTGAGAACAAGTAAACCCCACCGCAGCCATTTCAATCAAAAGGTGGGGGTGCAAAAACCCTAAATATTTCATAGATTAACAACAGCTGCGGGGCAGAATCAGTATACCATTTATCTAGGACATCAGTGGGGGAAAAAGTTCCTTGTTTGCTCCAAGTCCCTGGTTCAAATGCTTGGTCCTGACTTTTCCCCAGACTTTTTTATTTGTATTTCCATTCCTGTTGAGTTCAACAGTTCATCCTTTAGATCATCTTTTCTCAGGCTGACAAGTTGGGATTCACCTGCAGTTCACTCGGATACCTCGTCCTACCTTTTATCTCCCGCAATGAGCTAAGCTTGCCCTCTAGGTTATGACTGACGCAGGATCTGAACGGGGCAGACACTATCTCATCTTTTTCCATATTTTCTTAATATTGTAAGCTGAAGGGAGACACTTAATCTGCAAGAGCTCCTCGGGAGCATGACGGCACTGCAGCAGTGAGGAAGCTGTCGTATAACAACTGCAATGTGGCAGAGACCCGGGACAGGCAGGGCTGGTCTGCTCCCCGGCAGGGAGACCCAGGAGTAGATGAGCCCCTGAGGCTTTCTGCTGTAGGAGAACCAGAGATCCTGGTTTCCAACCAGAGAGCGTGGTTTCCTGCACCTCAGGCTGCGGGGAGAGGATGAAGTTGGCAGTACCAAAGTCGGGAGGTAGTGCCTGCTGGCGGATGAGGTTTAGCTGGCTTTTACTGCCCCGTCCCCCATTAGGGTCTCAGTTTCAGTGTCCTGATGGCCCTGCTGCTGCCTGTTTCACGTTTTCATCTGAGCTTGTTCTTCTGTGTCACTTGTCAAAACGTAAGCAAACCACCAAAAACGGGATCTTTCATCAGTGGTTCTGTGAAAGTGCCTTTGGAGGCCTGTGGTTAGGGTATGTAGGTGACTTAGGGGTCCCAGGGGCCAGCAGTGGCCAGGGATGGGGCTGTGGAGGCCTTCGGGAGCCCCCGGTGTCAGCTGGGCTGCAGCCCTGCAATGGGAGCCTGGGCACTAGGCACGATGCTCTGAGCACAGCAGGCTCTTCTACCCCCTGTCAGGTTAAGCACAGCTGCACCAAGAGGAATACGTGTATTTTAACAGTAAAGTTGTCAGTATTGACTCACAGAACAGATGGAATTGTTTTGCTAATTGAATGTATGCTGTTGAATGCTTTAAAGAAAATTGGGACGCAGAACTATGAAGGAAGGCTGGTGTAGCAGAAGTATGTGACTCAGTGACTTATGAATAAGATGCTTTTTCATTGTAATCCCTCCTAAGGAGAGAGACGCCTTTTTTTGGAGAAGGGGGGGGGGGGGGAGTTGA